AGCCTTGACTTGCTGGTGAGCATTTCTCATACATACCGGGAAGGGAATAGAACCGCGGACTGACTCTCGAAACACAGTCTTGTCTATCCCTACGGTATGCATGAGCTAGCTAATCCGCCACCAGGACTAGTTCCCATTCTTCAGGATGATTTTAGGGGGGGTTTGTTTTGAGCGGCAGATTGTTCCTGTCACGCCTCCCCCTGCCTCTTCCTCTTAGTCCCCCTGTACTCCTCTTCCTTGGCGGTTTTCGCCTCCTGTCATGCAAAAAAAAAACAATAATTGACTTCAATATTAAAAATTAACATCAAACTCAAGCCTTTATTAACAAATCGTAGTAGGCTTTTCAAGTTTAGATGATGGTGGGCAGGTGTTATATAATGATAAGTTGGATGATGTCTATAGTGGAGGAAATTATATGCGTGGGCGGTGGGTGGAAGTAGTAAGGAAAAGACATGGTGGGCGACGGCAAATTACGAGTGGACGACAGAGTGAAAGTACACCGACGATTTCTTATACAGCCCGACGACTACCAAAGCATGCTGACCGATAACAAAATATGAACGTCGACCGAACCAACACAGACAACAGTCTTCCTGCAACAACCGCGGTCGCAAGACGAACTGTGAGGTGAATATTAGGGTTGGAACAATGGCCAGAAACAAACATGCTGGGAAGCAACGACGGAAGCTGAGCCGGCAAAAGCATGAGGGAGGGAGAAACCTAAACCATCTTGGTAACTGAGTTTGTTCCGTGGGGAAAACCTTAAACCATAATTCTTATTTAAGTTAAGTTTTTAAATAATTAGAATTCTCTAATTGCCCTTAATTGCTTACTAACTAATAACTCCTATTAACTACCAAATTTACTAACAACCATAGTTAGTAAATACTCCGTTTAATACACGTATATGTACCTGTACGTACTTTATCCGTTTAAAATATCCGTATCCGTATTATTGTCAAGCCATTTCATTTTTTCCTGTTCATTTGATGGATCATGTACTAAACACGTATAAAACCCGTATAACACATTTATTATCCGTATTTTACGAATTAAATTGTTAACTTGACTATTATTTATATATTTATTTATTTTTAAAATGATTAAATTTTATATATTTATGACTATTAACTAGGGATGACAATGGGACGGGTTGGGGCGGATTTTTTCAAACCCAAACCCAAACCTATGGGTTTATCAGCCAAAAAAACTCGGGGTAAAACCCGTTGGGTTTGAAAAACTCAAACCCAACCCGCTGGGTATCCACCGGTTCATGGGTACACGTGGGTTTTTGTGGTAAAAAATTTACTATAACAAGTTTCTTTCAGAATAAAAGTTCAACACCAATTTTCTCCTACAAATTAATCATACAAAAAACACCACTCTAGAGCATACAAGCAAACCGCAAATGATCAATACAAATTGTTCATAGTTAAAGATAAACATCTATAAACAATAAGATTAATTGAAAACTTCTTCCTCGTCAACTAAGTTTCTTCACTCTCCACTTCATAATATCAACTTCATTCTAAACAATTAGAAAGAACAAATTATACATGTCTCCACAAACATAAAGAATATTAGTTGTTTAAGGAAGATATATTATTTAGAATATTAAATATACCGGGAAAGTAATTATATGTGTGTGGGCGGGTACCCATGGGGCGGGTTTACCTAAACCCAAACCCAACCCGACCCGGTGAATAATGTAGCGGGTTTAAACCCAAACTCGACCCAAAACCCGTCAACATGGGTTTTACCCGCGTTGACCGGGTTGGGACGGGTGGGTACCAGTGGGTTCGGGTTTTGTTGCCATCCCTACTATTAACGTGCTATTAAACGTAACTTTAGCTTAGAGACGAAGTATAATACCCGTACGTATTTTTTATGTAACTTTCCCGTACTGTATTTTACTAACTATGCTAACAACCAATAGAAATGATTTAAGCATATGCTTAAACTTTTGGGCTTAAGCACTAGAACCCAAACCCTTCTCGTATTTGTTTTAATTTCCCCTTCTCTGCTTTCGAGCAAAAAATTAGTTTTGGTTTTTTTCTAACTGGGGTCATCAAGATTCGAACAAAAAACCTTTTAGTCATAAAAGACTCTGATGCCATGTCGAGAACCGGTTGGTCCCAACAACTCAAATTGTTTGAAGTGGTTCAATTGTAAATCATGTACTAATTGGTAACAGACATTACCTATTAGTTCACCTTTTTGGTTACCTTATACCCTGACGGATTATTTTATTAAACATTGCTAACACAAGTTGTTGAAAAATATTCATAAATGACATCGTAATAATGTTTTTTTCGTGGTACGTAGTATGATTGAAAATTATAGTGTATGAAAATGATAATTGTGAGTTTTGACTATTGATTGTACAGACATTACCTATTAGCTCACTTTTCTGGTTACCTTATAGCCTAACGGATTATTTTATTAAACATTACTAACACAAGTTGTTGAAAAATATTCATAAATGACATCGTAATAATGTTTTTTTATGGTACGTTGACATGTTAAAACACAACACCAAACTACGATCAAGTGTAATCGCAGTTCGGAAATGGAGTAACAGGCAAGCTCTAATTGTCAACCCGGGGTCTAGATCTCCTGCCTACTCCGTGTATATCTGTTATCTAGCAAACTAAGTTTAGTGATTGTGATTTTAACTAAAAGCAGTAAGAAAGCAGGAAATAGTTCAGTTTTCTAAAGCAAGGGAAGAGTCAATCGGGAATGAGTCCCCCTAGCTCCTTAGTTAAGTCTGAGTTGTAATTACTTTTGGTTGCTTTACTGCTGATTATACTGCGGAAGATCCGACAGTAGCTTGGAATCTCTTAAGCTGACCAAGCCCTCTCAGTCAAACTACCCGGCAGACGACTAGTCTTCATCGGGATAGAACGCTGAGGCAATGAACATAGAACTCCACTACTGGAATTAGATTCCAGTACAAAGCAGTGAATCGACTAACTCTCGTATAATCGATTCACTACTACCGATTGAAGAAGCTCTAACAACCTAATCAAATTCTATCTATCTCCGTTTGCAGCAGAAATCAATAAAAGATTATCAGACTTCAATTGACTCCATCAAAGCACTTCAATCGATTATAATCAAGCAATATCACAATCCAAACATAATTACAATCAAGATTCCTAACACATGGAACTAGGGTTCTTCAAACCTAAGTGAGAGAAACTTCTACTACATAGAGAGAGAGAGAGAGCAAAACAGAAATCAGAGTAGTCATACTCATAAAGATGAGGAAAATCTGCTCTGGGATGTCAATCTTCACTCCTAGGGATGCAATCTGGGCTTCAATGGTGAGAAATCCACTCCAAATAGCTCCTAGGGTTTGTTCTTCGCACTTTCTCTCTCTAAAACTCTGTTTTTGCTCCTAAAAATCGATTTCCTCTCCTTTGGCTTGAATCTGCCTTAAAAACCCGATTTTGGGCGAAATACAGGCTGAATTACGGTCGTAATCATGGTCTGCCCGTAAATCACCCAAAACGCGCGTTTCACTTCACTCCAAGGAAGGGAATTACGGTCTTAATCATGCAATTACTGCCAGTATTTGAGCAATTACGACCGTAAATGCTTTTACTCTTGCCCGTAATTTGTTCTGCGACATGAATTCTCAGGTATTTGGCTCGGCATTGCATTTACGGGCATAACAGAAGCAATTACGCCTGTAAATGGTCAGGGGCTGCCCTTAATTTGCATCTTGAATCGCCAACTGACCTCCAAATGACCCGAAACTTGCCCCTATGCACCTCTTTACTTGCTAGGACCTGAATTATGACAAAACAACACAACCTAGCGTAAAATAGGCCAAGGAACAACAAATTCGAGCTAAAATGGTCAGGAAACAAGAGTGAAAACATGTGCAAATACGAAGCTATCAAATTCCCCCACACTTAACCGTTTGCTTGTCCCCAAGCAAACCAAGTCAGATACAAGGTAAGCTCGAAACATCTCAATCATGCAAACCTTTGGGACATATCACATAGGCACGAAACACGGGAATCATACTGGCTTTCAAACATCAACACATGAACAACTTGAACAGCAACCTGGACAATCACCACAAAGGACATTCGAGTGCAGAAAAATCGCTTAAAGGAGGAGTCTCCCTTCTGTTCATCAACCAACATAGACTTGACTCAACCACTTACTTAAGACAGTCACCTCACGCACAAAACTCAAGATATCAGAATTGAGACCGAGCAATCTAGGTCCTCATCGGGGTAAAGAGTATAGATAATATGAGAAAATGAATCGCTCACTCTCGACCAGTTGGGTCAGGACCATTTGATGCGAAAAATGTGCATGCTTATTCTCTCAATCCCTAACGTCTCTTCACCATGAAGGCAGCCTCTAAATGCTAGAGTTCACATATGGGGTGTCACCACTAACTAATCCGGAGGTCTTAGACACAGGTTCAGATGACTGGCTAGGGTCTTGGACATGGGGAAAAGGCCTTTTAGGTGGTGGAAGTATTCATAGCACAAGGTTCCAAAGTTCCAAACCCAACACATTCACAACCAATCAAACCACTTACTTTCTTTCTGCCATTCTGCATTACTCAAATTCTTTAGAGCACAAGAGCGAAGGAGATCACTATAATGTTAGTATTTCTAAGCCAAACTGCTAAGAAACACTAATTAATGAGCATGATTCAACTTTTTGGTAGTGACTCTCATTTACTTTCATTCATTTTTTTCTTTTTTTTTTTCATTTTTTCATTTCTTGAGAGAACCACCACCTCTGCACATTTTTCAAACACATGCCCAATCTTTAAGCATTACCTCCAACCCTCACCTTATATTTAGCAGAAACAGCAGAGAACATGTAAAAACCACTCTATGGAACCTTTTAAGTGAATGCTACACATCATGGAAGAGGGAACTATCGCACAAGAAACAGTTGAAAAACTGAACCCCTACACAATTCTACTGCACGTCTCAGTCATCATAATAGGCTATCCTAGTCATACTCCAGTTGTCATGCATTAATTCAAAAGTCATTCAATTCACCAATTAAATCCATAGTGCCAATATGATCAAGCAAACAGCAGTGCTTGGAGCCCTCAAATCTTGAGATTTGGACAGCAGACTAGGCTCCAAGAACACACACACACATATATATATATATATATATGTTCCAATGAATGCAAAGACCCCCCTCCCCCACACACACACACTTAAATGCGACAGTGTCCTCAGTGGAGCAGAGGGAAGGGGAACGATGTTACCATGAAAAAGTGGTCAGGAACGGTGACTGGAGGGCCGACCAGCAGTCTATAGCAGAGGACTGGACAAGGACCAGTCTAACGGGCACAGAGTTAGAGTCAGCAAAACATATACACACTGGGTGAAAGAAACCATAGTTCCAAGTCTATAATCCAAATAAACAGGACAAAAGAAAAGGAAACACAATATGGAGTCTTAGTCTGGAAAGAAAGACAAATGCAGAGCCCAACTCGATGGGTCAGGAGGCAGAGCCAGCTTAGTTCTCATTGCCTCCGTCGCCAGCTGGAGGCGGGTTGAAATCCTCATGTCCCGTGGAAGCCTCCCAAGGGTAGCTAACAACAGCAGGGTCCATGTCCCAGTAGCTCATCATGTAATGTTGAGCCGAAATGATGCGGCAGTGACCTTCGCGCTCACGGTCGAGTCGGGCATTGCTGTGCTTCTGGCCAGCAAGGATCTGCTCGTTCTGGCGAGAAATGGCTGCCAGCTGCTCAGCAATGTAGGAGGTGGGGGCAGCAGCAGACGGGCCGGCAGCAGAAGTGGACGCGCCAGCCGCAGAAGGTGTGGTCCGACGGGTGGTCCGATGGGGTCCACGTCGAGTGGCAGCATCGCTCGCCTCGGGGGATCCTCGCCCTCTGGTGCATGAGGAACAGGTCGAGGAAGTCCCCGGATCCAGGTCACGTCCCCGTCGCGCTCCAGTATCAACTGGCGCCGTAGGGTTTCCCGGGAAAATGGTGTCGGTGGCAGGATGACAGTGAACCCAGAGAGGTCGATGTTGAAGTACCGGGCCAGGGCAGTAACCACCGGCCCACAAGCTAGAGTACGACCACAGTGAGAGGCCTTGGTGACGATCCTGGCGATGAGAGAGGCCAAATGGAGATTGTCTTCCTCCTGGCTGATGGAATGCAGGCAGTGCAAGGTGCGAAGCTGAAGAAGACTGGCTGAGCCACCGCTGGGGGTGTAAGATTTCCCCAACAGCTGGGTGTAAGATATTCAGGTAAGTGTTCATGGTCTTGCAGCCAAAAAGCAACAAAAACACAACAACATACATGAAAATTTGTCAATGGCGAGTACACAATCATCCGCACCCTAGGTCCTCGAATCATAAAATTCGGACAGTGGACAAGGCCCCAAGGGAGGAAAAACATTCAAAACCATTCACCATTCGCACAAGATTAAACGCACTTGGAGCCCTCGGATAATAAACCCGGACAGCAAATTAGGCTCCAAGTGGGACAATCACAAACACATGCTGCCCGGTAGGCCAACCAAAGTAGTATCAAATAAAGCATGCAATATCGTAAGCCTACCGAATTCATTCAAGCACAACCCAATCCCTGAATTCCCTCACTTAAACCCGTAATATCAATCCTCCACAATTCAACAGTAAAAATAGAGAAACACAACTGGAGGCACAAGAAGGTATCACGGGGAACGTGAGGGAAGGGGGAGACTCAACGACAATCGCCGGGAAACTCGCTGGGACAGGAGACATAGGGGACGACCAGAAAAGTGAGGAGAGAGAGAGGGGAATTACGGGCGTCGCCCGATTTTTATCTGTCAAGGGGAAATTACGGGCTGAATTACGACCGTAATTGCCCCTTATTAGCCCGTAATTGCAACGACGCGAGCCCCAGACCCCCCTGTACCAATTACAGGCAGAATTACGACTGCAATTGGTCTGATCCTGCCCGTAATTGCACTGCCGAGGCTGTGCTCCTCTTCTGGCTGAATTACGGGCAGGGGGTAGGCAAATACGACCGTAATTAGGCCCCCTTGCCCGTAATTACACTGCCGAGGGCCCTGTTCTCCAATTTTAGCCCACAATTTCGGACAGCCAAAACCATTCGTTCCCCGGCTAAAAAATAGACACTAGTACCACAGACAAAAACAGGCCATCCGGGGTACGAAAAACATTCCAGAAAGACTCTAGACAGACTCAAAGACTCAAAAACCGAAAAAAACGAAAGGGAAAAAAGGGCAGAAAGGCAAACCGTGGTGGGGTTGTCTCCCCACAAGCGCTTCTTTACCGTCTTTTAGCTGGACGCTAGTAGAGGAACTAAGGGTCCTCGAGCTTGATCAGCAGCTCTACGCGCTCGACAGCACCTCGTAAGTACAATTTTAGGAGGTAACCATTCACCTTGAATGGCTTAGTTTGAGCATTGCTGATCTCCACCGCCCCGTGGCGGAATACTAGGGTGATCGTGAAGGGTCCCGACCATCTCGAACGTAGCTTGCCCAGGAAGAGTTCCAGGCGTGCATTGAAGAGCAGAACACGATCACCTACTTGTAACTCCTTCGGGCCCCTCAACCGAGCGTCGTGGAGACGCTTGGTTCGCTCTTTGTAGAGCATGGTGTTCTTGTACGCGTGGTAACACCATTCCTCCAACTCCAGCAGCTGCAGCTTACGTTTAGTACCTGCAACACTCAAATCCAGGTTTAGCAGCTTAAGGGCCCAAAAGGCCTTATGCTCTAGCTCTACTGGCAAATGACACGCCTTCCCATAGACAAGCTTATAAAGGGAAGTGCCAATCTGGTTTTTATAGGCTACCTATATGCCCAAAGAGCATCATCGAGCTTGGTGGACCAATCCTTGCGGGACTGATCCACCGTCTTTTCAATTATTCTTTTAATCTCCCGGTTCGTTAGCTCGGCTTGCCCATTTGACTGGGGATGGTAAGCCACCGACACTTGATGCTTAACACCATAGCGAGAGAGGAGTTTAGTGAATTGCCCTTGAAAATGGGTTCCTCAATCACTAATGATGGTGTGAGGTGTCCCGAACCGGGAGAACAACTGCTTCAGAAATGAGCAGACCCGACTGTAGCACCTTCCGCGCCGTGCGGTTTCCTCCATGGTGACCTCCAGTTGGTCCCGTGTGATATTGAGACAGGATGTCTCCCATCTCGTGCTCCATGATGCAGTGCCGGATCACGCCATCGGCTCCGATCATGAAGAAGTAAGGATCCTCCCAGAAGTAATGCTTCAGGTCGGAGAAGAACTTTGCGCTTTGCATGAGTGGTCATCCCCTTTGGTAACTACTTGCCCACCAGATAATTGCAAAGTCAGAATACCAAGGGGCCACGCTGTCCACAAATGTCATCGCCAGCAATCGCTCACCCGGGAAAGAGTCATCGATCTCCTCCACGAAGTTGTCCACCGGAGGGGCTTCCAACCGTGAAAGATGATCTGCAACAACATTCTCGGCTCCCTTCTTGTCTCGGATCTCTATATCGAATTCCTGCAGAAGCAGGATCCAGCGGATGAGCCTAGGCTTTACATCAGCCTTGCTCATCAGGTAGCGAATCGCCGAGTGGTCTGTATAGACCACCACATGGGAGAGCACCAGATATGGTCAGAACTTATCAAATGCATACACCACAGCGAGGAACTCCTTCTCAGTGGTGGTGTAATTCTTCTGTGCGTCGTTCAAGGTCTTCGACGCGTAGTAGATGGGCAGGAAGTGCTTCCCGCGTCTCTGACCCAGAACGGATCTGACTGCATAGTCACTCGCATTGCACATCAGCTCAAAGGGTAGAGGCCAGTCAGGAGTCACCATGATTGATACATGGGTAAGCTTCTCCTTCAATGTTTCGAATGCAGGTGTGCACTCAGGAGTGAACTGGAATGGTGCATCCTTCTCCAACAGCTTGGTCAGAGGTAGGGCAATCTTCGAGAAATCTTTAATGAAGCGCTGGTAGAAGCCTGCATGACCCAGGAAACTGCGAATCCCCTTCACAGAAATGGGAGGAGGTAGTTGACTAATCGTCTCAATCTTCGCGCGATCCACCTCAATCCCCTGCTTGGAGATCTTGTGCCCGAGCACGATCCCCTCATGGACCATAAAATGACACTTCTCCCAGCTGAATGCCATATTAGTCTCCTCACACCTCTTTAGAACGAGTTCCAAGTTATGGAGACAATGAGTGAAGGAGTCTCCATAAACCGAGAAGTCATCCATGAAGACTTCCATGATCTCTCCAACCAGTCGGTCGAAGATCGCCATCATGCATCTCTGGAAGGTCGCTGGTGCATTGCATAATCTGAATGGAATCCTCCGGTAAGCAAAGGTACCGAAGGGGAAAGTGAATGTTGTCTTCGCCTGATCCTCTAGTGCAATAGGAATCTGGAAATAACCAGACATGCCATCCTGGAAGCAATAAAACTCATGGCCAGCCAACCTCTCCAGCATCTGATCAATGAAAGGTAGGGGAAAATGGTCTTTCCTGGTGGCATCGTTCAGGCGCCGGTAATCGATGCCGACTCTCCAGCCGATCACGGTCTGCATCGGGATCAGCTCTTTCTTCTCATTCGGGACCACAGTCATCCCGCCTTTCTACGGGACCACCTGAGTGGGGCTGACCCAATTGCTATCAGGTATAGAAAAGATGATCCCTGCATCCATTACCTTCACAATCTCTGCCCGGACCAATGCCTCCAAGTTGGGAGACAATCTCCGCTGTGGCTCCCTGACTGACTTAACCTCATCTTCCATCAGAATTCTATGGGAGCAGAAGGATGGGCTAATGCCTCTGATATCTGTGATCTTCCATGCCATGGCCCATACATACTTCTCCAACAGAGCCACCAGCCTGCTCTTCTGCTCGGGTTTCAGATCCGAGCTGATAATGACTGGGAGCTTATTCCCTTCCCAGAGAAATGCATACTCCAGGTGAGAGGGGAGGGGCTTAAGCTCCAGCTCTGGCGGCTCCTCCAATGATGTAGTGATCGGCTTGAATGGTTTCTCTCGCCCCTTGATCGCGACCTCATCTAACTCCGCAAGCTGCTCCTCCAGCTGCACCTCCTGTGATGCCTGTTCCCCTAGCAAAAGACAACACTCGAGGAAATCATCTGAAACACCCCGATCCTTTTAAACAACCGAAATAATCATGGTTCCGGAGCTGTTTAAAAACAAAGCTTAAAATTCAAATACAACTTAAACATTCCCAAGAAAAACATCAATGCAATGCCCTAAACACGTGGGCAAAACTCAAATGCATAGTTAATAAACCTCAATCTTTGAACATCCAGTTATACTCATAATCATAAACACAACTGAATAAACAAACTATAACTCCTCGCTTAGCTCCTTGACACCAGGTCAACGTTGGTGCGGCTGCTCGCTTTGTCCTGCTTCTTCTCCAAAACCACGTCGGATAACCCTTCCTCAACCTAGTGAGTGAGAATGGGTCAGTCTCGTCGTTACTTCCTAAGGTCTTGCCGTAAGCAAACCCTTACTAAACACATTATTAGCGGGTTTCCCTTTCCTTAGATGAAAGTCGTTCTCGCTTTCATCCATCATACTTAATTACTTAATAGTTTATGGAATATCTTTTTTTCCTAACCTTATCTTATAAAAGTTATCTACTTCTATCCTTAACTCATACACATAAATACTAGGGACCACCGTGTTACGTATCGGCGTCCGGTGTCCTACCATAGTATGCCAACCGCGTTACGTCTCGTCGTCCGGTTGCATACCCAAACTCTGCAATGGCACTGCATTACGTCTCGCCGTCCAGTCCATGCCCAGTCAACTACTGCGTTACATATCGCCATCCAGTAGTGACCCCAACATACTCGATCAACTGCTGTGTTACGTCTCGCCGTCCAGCAGTGATCCGACCATCTACCACATCCAGTAGTGGCCCAACCGCCCGGGGGTTCCATTACCATCAACCATACAAACATAAATTCATACATACATAAGCACAACGCGTGCCTCCAACTTAAGTAGGCGGTGGGATGCCTCACACATATTACCGTGCTTAACTCGAAAATTAACGAACATGACTTGAAATGAAAAACATAAACTAAAGGCCTCGACAGAGATTTTACCCCCTTTACATTCACCTCATTTAATTAAGAATCTTAGTCCGCGTGTCCCATCGGCTTGACTGTTGTTCTACATCGTTCCATCATCTTCCTTCTCGTGTACTCCCATGTCGTACCAATAGTTAATCCTCGTAGCAAAATAATTCATTAGCTCACGACCACCCATCGACCATAACCAACCTAAGCAGATCGTCTAAATCCACCTCTAGCTTTTTATTTCTCATGCATGAACCCCCCATAACGTTTGTGAATCCAAGTT